GGGTCATTTTTATAAATTCAACTATTATTTTCTCTTGTGGACTATATGTAAACATCTTTTATGTGAAATATCTTATTCAGGTCAGCACTAAATAAACAATAACATGCATTTTGTATGATCCCTCTTATTTTGGTAAAATAATAAACATTTTGCAGATTCTGAAAGGGGTATGTAAACTTTTGACCTCAACTGTAAATAGCTAGAGTTTAATAACACTCAAATTTCTTAACCCCCTTCCGAAAGCCCATTAGAATGTCTGAACAAGGGTGGAAATATTCAGCCATGCCAGAGCACATAAGCATTCCTGAGGAAAGGGAAGAAGTATTTATATATTATTTACATGCTTACATGATGTTCAGATAGCAGGAAAGCAGTTTTTTTTCAAAATCTAAAACTAATTAAAAGTTACCTGATAGAGTTAGACGCTGGTAGACGCCGTGTGCATGGTTCCCCCATCCACCACTTGGACACGGCTTTTTCACCATCTTTGTTGTTAATGCTTTTTGCACTTGCTTTCTTCAAGCAAGCATCTCGTTATGTAAGCCAACTGTCTATACATAATTTTTAGAATAAACTGTTGACATCAAAAGCTAGACAATATTCCACTCAGCCATACCCAGTTTTATGTGAAACTGGAGCTTTCTGTTTGCCACCATATTGCATTATTTAAGTGAATGAAGACACTGCTGGAGATGGTAGCAGATACAAGATCCACACATACTTCAAGCCATACTTTATTCAAACCTCACTACGTATAGGAACATATCTTAAATTGATCAAAACACTTCTATTACTGAAAAAGATATAATACTGCAAGGGTGTGAATATTATGACCCGACCTCAGCCTGTTGACACTGTCATAGACCCGTTGAGTTCAGAATCTGAGCTGGTGGTGCCTTTGAAGCATTCTTGACTCCTTCCCAGTCAGACCCTGTTTCACATGAAGATGCAATTCTCAGTCTGACACCTACAAATACAAAAAAAGCTTCATTTAAGTTTAGAAGTTTGTTATCCTCTTTGATAGTGATAAAAAACAAAACACCACTAATAACTTAGGATGACCTTACACTGAGTGATCACTTTACATGTATTATTAGTATTTATCTACTTTATAGTTGTAGCTTAACAGGCTGCCATAAATTTTACAGTTACAGTCAATAGTAGTAATCACTATTGTACTGTTTTGCTTTATATAAATATGAAAACAATGTTTATCCAATTTAAAAAAAGGTATTTGGGAGTTGTAAACAAATGAATGTTTATCTTTTATATTTTTCAAGATAAACTGCAATAGTTTTCTAATGATTAATATAATTGATTGTTTGGTAAAACTATTTCTAAGAACGCCTAAGTGGGAGGTAATGAAATTTCCTACCATCCTTTTCCTTTTTTCCCTTCTGTGTGTGGTTCACTCTGGAGATCAGAGGTGACATCTCCCTTCAGTAGCTCCCTTCTGGCAGATACAAAGAGAACATCCAGATAGGAAAAGAGAACATCCATAATATGGGCAAATCTTATTACCACATTCTCTGTATTTGGTCTACGGTTAACTGAATACATTTGTGGGCTTCAATGGCATAATGAGACCCAAATTACATTGCCTTTATTATGACAAAATGTGGAATAAATAAAAAAACAACTTTAAACACAAACCTTAGTGTCTTGTATACATAAAAATAGCATATCAGGCTTTCCAAACAGTCAGTAAGCATACTGTTAACAATCCAAAAATTAAATGTATGACTACAGCTACATAAGACAAGACCAGTAAGAATGCACACGAAATAACAGAGATGTAGAATTTAAGTTAAATGATTTTAACCAACTGCAAATGCTGCAAAATTTGAAAGTCCTAAGTAAAACAACTCTCAGAAAGTGGCGATGCACCAGCAGCAGTAATGCACGCGCTCGTACCCCTGGGGTAAGACAGTGCCATTGAGCTTCAGCTAACTGCAAGCTAGTATTAATATGTTCACTGAGAACTTGCCCAAACCATAAAAAATTATATTTAGAGTTATTTACAACTTCAGACAAGATGTTATCTTTTAAAGCGAACAAACTGCCATTAAAACTGCTAAAATAGTTGAAACGTTCACCTTAACTGTATCTCTTTTTAAACATTGCACTTTTATTAAATTACAAAAATGTAACTGTACATAGAGATAAAAACGTACCTTAATAATTTATGTAGTGTTCCAGTTGGTCTTCAGCCATGAACTGCTGCTCCTCCTCCACTCAGGTGGAGCTGTGTGAGGCAGAATTAAGCCCGGCGGGAAAAGACTTTCACTTGTTTTCCCATGGGGGAGGGGCAGCACTCACTAAGCTCCTCATTTATCACTTTACATCCTTATCTTTATTCTTAAAGTTAAAGTGTAAATCTGACACTGGTTTTAACATTTAAAAAAATTATAAAGTTATTTCCTGAGTTATTAATTTGAAATCTTCTGACACTCAGTTCTAACGAAATACATAAAATAACACAAGTATTTTATAGCCCAGTTAGAACAGATATAGCAGACCACTTAATTCCCACCTGGGGCCAAGTCATAGCCCACTAAATATACTATACATACATACATATATAATATATATATATATATATATTAATTACAATCAGGTCCGGAAGTATTTGGACAATGTCCAACAGAGTTTTTGTGATTTTGCCTTTATACACCACCACAATGGATTTGAAATAAAACAATCAACATGTGAACGAAGTGTAGACTTTCAGCTTTATTTTAAGAGGTTCCACAAAAATATCACATTTACCATTTAGGAATTACAGCCATTTTCAACAAAGTACCTCCATTTTCAGGGGCTCAAAGGTATTTGGACAAAGTGACATAATTGTAAATATAACCATAATTTTAATACTTGGACAAAAATCCTTTGCAGTCAATGGCTGCCTGAAGTCTGGAGCCCATGTTCTCAAAACTCAAATTCTGAGTTTCCTCCATGGAGATGCTTTGCCAGGCCTTCACTGCAGCCACCTTCAGTCGCTGCTTGTTTGTGGGTCTTTCTGCCTTCAGTCTTGTCTTCAGTAACTGAAAAGCATGCTCTATTGGGTTGAGCTCAGGCAACTGACTTGGCCCTTGAAGAATATTCCATTTCTTTGCCTTCAAAAAGTCTTGAGTTGCTTCCGCAGTATGTTTAGGGTCATTATCCACCTGCACTGTGAAGCGGCGTCCTATCAGTTTTGTAGCAATTGGCTGAATGTGAGCAGAGAGTATAGCCCTATACACCTCAGAATTCATCTCGCTACTTCTGTCAGCAGTCACATCATCAATAAACACCAGTGAGCCCATTCCACTGGCAGCCATACATGCCCATGCCATAACACTGCCTCCACCATGTTTGACACATGATGTGGTATACTTTGGATCATGAGCTGTTCCTTTCTTTCGCCATACTTTTCTCTTCCCATCATTCTGGTACAAGTTAATCTTGGTTTCATCAGTCTAAAGAATCTTATTCCAGAACATGGGAGGCTTTTTTAGATGTTTTCTGGCAAAGTCTAATCTGGCTTTCCTGTTCTTGAATGTTACCAGTGGTTTGCACCTTGTTTAAAACCCTCTGTATTTACATTCACGAAGGCGTCTCTTGATTGTAGATTTTGACAATGATACGCCTACCTTCTCCAGAGCATTCTTGACTTCTGTTGATGTTGTGAAGAGGTTTTTCTTCACCAAGGAAAGGATTCTGCGATCATCCACTTTAGTTGTCTTCCGTGGTCTTCCAGGCCTTTCGATGTTGTTGAGCTCACCAGTGCTTTCTTTCTTTTTAAGAACATACCCAACTGTTGATTTGGCCACACCTACGGTTTTTGCTATCTCTCTTATAGATTTATGTTGTTTTTTTCAGCCTAATGATGGCCTCCTTCACTTGCATTGAGATCTCCTTGGAGTTCATATTGGTAGCTCCAGTCGAACAGCTGCCAAATGCCAACTCAATACCTGATATCAACTCCAGACCTTTTATCTGCTTCATTTGTCTTGAAGTAACGAGGGAATGGACCGCAGCTGGTCAATTGACTTCTTGTCAGTCAATTGTCCAAATACCTTTGAGCCCCTGAAAATGGAGGTACTTTGTTGAAAATGGCTATAATTCCTAAATGGTAAATGCGATATTTTTGTGGAACCTCTTAAAATAAAGCTGAAAGTCTACACTTTGATCACATCTTGATTGTTTTATTTCAAATCCATTGTGCTCGTGTATAAAGGCAAAATCGTAAAAACTCTGTCATTGTACAAATACTTCCAGACCTGACATATATATATATATATATGTGTGTGTGTGTGTGTGTATATATATATATATGTATATATACACACACACACACACACACACACATACTTTTTTAGCAAAATGCAACTTTATTTATAAAACATCCTCTATATGAATGCAGTTTCTTTGTAAACACACATGGAGTCGTCTCTCCCACTCATGATGAATTCATGTTAACA